GGGGTGACAGAGCGTGTGGGCAAAGGGAGGGGACACGGTGACTGGGTTTGCGAGCAGGAAACTGCATCTGTTAACCTTCCCCGTCAGGGGTGCCCCTAGCAACGACGGATGAAACGCTCATGGAGAAAAGGAGATTTTTGAGGTGATGTTGCCTTTAAACTGTCACAATTAAATGTGTTCAGAGCGTTTGAAACCATTTTGCCTTTATAAGCAGCGTTTTGGAGCTGTACAGGGGATGGTCTCAACTCTGAACATGAGGCTTCTCAAGAGACCAACTCTCATCAGTGTGTTAAAAGTTTCCAGCACTCGTAGCGGCCAATTGTCCATGCAGATAGTTAGAATTGACCTTTTTACTGGTAATTCAACACCCTCACAGTTAAATATGGAGTTAATGTTACAAAGGAGGAAGGTGAGAGCCACCTTGTATCTCGATAACTTGGCTCTGGGAGTTTCAGAAGAGCTGAGCTCCCTATGTTTGATTTACTTTGTAAAAGCAATGGTTTAGACTCTGTGGATCACATTAACGTCTGAAATCTATCATAGAATCACAGAATGGTTTGGGTTGGAAGGGACCTTAAAGATCGCCTAGTTCCAACCCCCCCACCATGGGCAGGGACACCTCCCACTATGTCCTCTGTTTCTGCAAAAGAAATACTTCATTTTCATAAAACATCTGCATGGGCCTATTACTAATTGTACCTTAATTTTAAGGGAAATTGGATGGCTGAGTGAGAAGTGGATGTTGAGAAGATTCACAATTGTGGCTGAGGATTACAACATGTCTAAAGAAATGCAAGAGCTGCAGAAGCAATGGCACTCCGTGATGCAGTCCATTCACAGCAACTCAAATGTGGGTCTGGATTATGATATTATGGAATATATTTGTAAAGATACTCCTTTGATAATTCTCAGAATATCACACCCCAAATTATTCAAATGCAGTTTTGAAACTGTTGTGTTTTTATTTTTTTGGAGAAAATTGGCACTCCCTTTTTTTTCAGTGAACACTAAGGAGCCTATGGGGGGGGGAGGGCTGTACTCTCACACCTTCAACAATCAAGAAAAAAAGAAGCCTGTTTTGCATTTCCGTGTTTTACTGGTACAACCATTTGAGCTAGTAGAGTGGCATTTTAGTTAAATAGTTGTGCTACTATAAAAAGAACTAAAACTACAGTACCTATTTCCTTAAGGGAAGGGAAATATCTCTATTACAGTAAAATTCCAGTGTATAGGTATGACTGCCTCTGCAAAAAGGATTTTTTTTTTCTGACACTAACATTGTAATTAAATTCCTAACAAATTTGTGATACAGATATGGCTGCACTGTACTAATGCTCAGTGAATGAGCAGGTTGCAGATATTACTGAGGCATGGAAAAAAGAAAAAAACATAATTTTTAAGTGTTACAGTATTTTTTTTCTTAACAAATACAGTTCTCTAGATCAAAATCATAGCTGTTGAGGCCCACTGAAATCTGTGCAGCTAAACCATGCTTTGTTTTTTTTTACTTGTTATCTTTCTTTCTTTTTTTTTTTTTTTTAATTTGTGCAAGAATGGAACTGGGAAGTCCAAGAGAAACGTGTCTGTTGGTAGAATTAAATTTGCTATGCGGTTATCTAAATTTGCAGTAAGTGCTCATTCATGCTTTTGAAACAGAGGCAACAGCTGCCCTCTGTTCAAGCTGCAGACTTGACCTTTAAAAGTTATCTATGACAAGAGAGAAAGTCTGAAATGTTTTTCTTTCATCCACAGGTTGTTGCATTTATGAATTCTCGTGTTGGCCAATATTTAGATGACCATCCTTTTGTTGCCTTATCACTCCTGATGTTTATTGCAGTGTCTGCTATTCCCGTTGCATTTTTCCTCATTTTTGTTGTTACAACAGCCATAATGGCCTGTATCGGTGTGATAGTTATGGAAGGTATTGTATGCATGCATGCATGTACTTACTTATTCCCTTCTAAGCCATGGTGTCTCTTCCTTTTTATCTTCTTCCTTCTGGAGTTCCCAGTTCAAGCAATTGAGGATTTCTATACATAGTCCTCAGGTCTCAGTAGTAGTGAAACTCTTAATACAATAATAGTAATCTAATTAAGTGTAGTCTATACAGGGGAAATCCTATTTCCCTGTCTAATCTCAGCCACCAGGATATGGCTAAACCAGTTATCTTAACCAAGCATAGCTTTTATAGTAGCTAGCTAGTTGATTGCAGAAGACTATTTTCCCAAATGGTTTGAATTTGGGGTTGTGGTAGCATGTCAGCTCTTCTAGCTTACTTGCATATAAACTTGTATAAATAACAAACTTATCTTCTTTTGTTAGGTGTTGTAATAGCTATAGGCGGCATAACCCTCCTTTGTGTGCTGTGTGGCCTGGGAGCGCTTTCACTGGGAGTTTCTGGAGTCCTGAGTATTTGTTACGTTGTTCTTTCAACTCTGGTCAACTACTGGCATGCTTCAAGGTGAGTATTAATGTCTTGATCTATGCTTGGATTTTAAACTCCCCAACCGTACTATTGCATTGATTCCCTCATTTATTCTAAGTGAGCCACTGTTGATTAGTTTGACAGATGTTGCTTGAATGGTAGAGCATCTTTGGCTACCCTGGTGGCTTAGTGTGGAGCATATAAATGTGTAGTCATCAATATATATTTTAATGGGAGTTAATACATGTACTCTTTCCTACTGAGGAAAGAGGAAATCTGAACAGTGTTTAAATGCGCGTGTGCTAACAAAACAAGACATCAAGCAATAAAATACAACTTTGTCTGACTCAGAATGTTGCTTTTAATGTCATTACAACAAACTTCCAAATTGGACTGTGTCTTTTACAGTTCTGTTTGTGATACCCCAGCTCTCTCTGCTTACTTGCATTTGTAAAGTAATGGACCAAAGTTAGTTGTAGATTTTGGGATGGGCAGAGGGGTACTTACAAGGGACAGCGTGCCCAAAATAGAAATCACAGGTTTTGCTGGATACTGTACATGTGCTGCTTGCCAGTCACATCTCCCAGTATTCAGGACTGGAGGGCCATTTCAGTCACCATTGCCTTAGCCATGCTTTTACCAGCCATCCAGCTAGGAGTGAGAGGCCCTAGCAGGTTGTGCTAGAGTGCCACCTATTGCCCGCTTAAATATCTACCAGGGAATGAATAGTGATAAACACTTCTTAGGCATAGGCAGGAGCAAGAAGACAAATTACAGCTGCTCCCTCTTTCTTAGGCTTTCTCAGTTTGCTCCTTGTCACAGCTGTGCTCCTTGCACAGCTCTCAAGGACACACAAAACTGCCTGTGGAGCCCAGGATATCTTCAGGACGTCAAGGCCACAGTGCAAGGCCCAGTGTGTCTGCGTTTGTTCCAGGGCTCTGTACACCTCCTCCAGGGCAGGCTGCCAGGTCCATGCCATTGCCCACTAGTTCCAGAAAAGGCTTCTGTTTTTTGCTATAGGATATTTGAATATGCAACCCAACCTACAGACCAGTCATATTGACTGACAGGTTTGATGTTAAAACAGATAGTATCTGCTCTTTTTATGGTCCTGTGCCTTTTGAGAGAAGCTCTGGTAGACTGGCAGTGGATGTTCCAGGAGTCTTGGGCATGTTTACATCTCGCATTGCTCAGCTTTTTTAAGAAACAAGTTAAAAGACAATCTTATGGAAGAACAGACTAAAATAATTCTTTTCTCCTGTGTACAGGGGTCAGATAAGGAAGCAAGAAGCTAATGGAAGTTTGCCACAAAAGAGTCCTTCTGACCCGGATCTTTCTGCCAATGATAGAAAGAACGAATAAGTGGGTTTCTGCCCACTTCCTTCACAGGCACTTAACTATACTATTCTGACCTTTGCAGTGTAATTGTTTACTCGTTGAGCATTCAACCTTTCTGCACTCCTTAGGGGAAGTGAAAAAAACCAGTATGCATCCCATGCTGTAGCTGTGAAACTGATATTAAGAATAACCATTAAGCAGCAGTGCATTGCAATATTAAGTCTGTGTGCATGAGGGAATGTTTGACAGAATTTGGTAGAGGGATATAAAAATAAAAGCTACTGTTAAGGAAGTGACAACTAGGTGAAAGAAAGGGTAGGTTGGTATTTGATTTCCTATTTGTTACTGGAGTTCTGGATGTACTATCTTTTGAAATTTGTATGCAGCAGTTAATAATTTTAATATATAAACTCAGAACTCCAGAAATATGTTTTGAATGTTAAGATACTATTAAGCCTTAACAGCCTTTGTTACAATAGTATGAGCACACCATGCTAATGCTTTATATTTATTATATGAGGAAAACTGGGGTTTATCATATGGTATAAGCTTTTATGTACCTTCAGATGTATTGTTCTGAAGGGATATTTTCCTTGTTCTCATTGCCTCATCACATCAATGGTATGCAGTTAGGTCTTGCATTTTGTCATATTTGTTGAGGTATTTAAATTGCCTGTTTTGCTTATCAGGTGTAACTTCTTGTATGTTATTTAGACTTTTTTCATTTTTGCAAATGCTATAATATTTTTAAGCATTAAGAAATATCTAGATATATTAGTTTAATAAAGTGGTGTTTGTTTATCCAGGTTGTTGTGTTATTCTGTTTATTCTACAGTAAAACCAGCTTTTCAAGCTCTGCTTCTAGAAATGCTACATTTGGAGCTGAATTTTTCTGCTTGGTTAATGTTAAGTATTTTGGCTGGCCAGTATCGTTGAGCCACAACTGCAGATTATTCCCATTCTCATGCCTGTAAAGGAAATGCAGAATCCTAAGGACTAAATTAATTTAATACTCCAGTTTTGCATGAATGAACACACTCTGACTCTAACCTAGAGTCAAAGTTTATCTTTCTGAGCCATAAAGTGCTCCACATGGTATTGGTGGTAAGATTTTCAGCTGTAGTGATAAGCTGGCCCTGCACTTCACCAGTTGATTGAAATTATCCTTAACACTACCCTGTGTTACTGTCTGCAGGACAGAGAGGACCTGATGCTAGTTCATAAAGGGCTAGATTCCAGTTAAATCGGGAGGATTTACAGAATGGAGACCACAACAGATTTTTTTGTAGTTTACTAAGTAGATAAAGCTTTGAAGCACCTGGAAAAAAATTATCATTTACTAGATTCCAGTTAAATGTGAAGTATTTACAGAGTGGAGACTATAACAAGAGACTTCTTTCATAATTTACCAAGTAGCTAAAATATTTTTTTCAGGTGCTTCAAAGCTTTGTCTACTATTTACTAGATTCCAGTTAAATCTGAAGTATTTACAGAAGAGAGAGCAGGAAATTTCTTTCATAATTTACTAAGTAGATAAAATATTAGGGGTTTTTTTTCAGGTGCTTCAAAGCTTTATCCCAACCAGATTTTTTTTTAACTTCCAGAGGATAATAGTATACTGGTAGTAGGAAGAAAAAAAAAACACAACAGGAAAAGTACTTGCTCTACTTTCCTTGTAAAACAAGCTAGCTCTACAACACTGTTTACATGACTACAGCCTGCAGAAATCCATCTAAAAGATGGAACAAAAGTTTAATATATTAATATATGTACCTGGGTTTTTCACATTGCTGTTACCCTCACTTCAGGATTTATCTGCAGCTGCTGTCAATTACAGTAGAACTCAGGCAATGATCATCAGGGGGAGGAAAGATCAGAGAATGCCATTCCTAACACTTGTGTGGTGCTGCCCAGTGACACACATCACAGCTGAAGGTGATACAACAAGAAAAGCAAATTCCCCAGTGCATACACTGAACTGCAAAAAGCTGAAAGATGCTGGAGTCTCTTCATTTGCAAACACCAGTCAGGTGGTATGTCAGGGGCACAGATGTGAAGGGGGGTTGTGCACTGGCTGGTAAAGGGAATACATTATCCCTTGTGCAAATGGACTAGTACCTGCTTTTAAGAGCTGTGAATTACTGAAATAAAGTATTTCTAAGTGCTGGAAGTCCTTGCAACTAGCAAAAAGTGAGCCTAGAACTTCCAGTCATTACAGAATCCTTGCTGTCATTCACCAGACTACTGGCCCCCATCATCAGGGTACAGGCTGAGTTTAATCTTACTTTTTCTAAGCAGTAATGCCTTCAAATCTAGGAGTTTAGTAGCTGCTAAGAGCAGACTAATGGTTGTAAGGGAAATAAAGCAGAGATTAGTGTGACTTAATTATAACACAGACACCACCTCATTTATTTAATGTTTCCAGTATTCTGCCTTTTTTACATGCCAAACTGCTGTAATTGTAAATACACCTTGAAAATAAATCCCTTGGTTATCTCCTATTCTCTTCTATCAGTCTGCCTAAAGTGAAACATACCCAACCCTATTACTGTGCTTGAGACTGCAAAATTAATTGAAACAGAGAAAGCACTACACAGGAGGGAAATAATGGTGCTGTTTATCATCTGTGCTGCAATTTATCAGGCACAGCCAGAAAACACTAGCTTTCTGCATT